CATTGAGAAGTTAGCTTACTGCCAATATAGAAGTATTACATATATGCGGAAAACTCTGTTTATCTGTAGGAGATTCATAACAATAATAACCAGTTGTGTATTTAACCATTTTTCATCGCAACTATAACTTAGAGGTTCGCCAAAAACCCACAAAAACCACGAAAAATGCAATGGGGGACAAATAAAAAATCGTTAGTGTTAAAAATGGTTAAAAAAACAATTTGGTATTATTACTGAAAGTCTCCTGAAGAGATCCAGAGTTTTCCGATCGAAAAATATTGATTTTCAAGAATTCTATACCACTTCTACGAAAAATTTTTTTTTCCCCACATAAAAATACATCGAAAACTTTGAGCGCTATGAGCGACCTCTAAATAATTTTTAATTTCAAAATAAACAAGTAAGAAAGTCTAAGTTCGGGCGGAGCCGAAATTAAATACCCGGCGCAAATATTAAATGTATGTTTTTCACCTTTCCGAAAGCTACCGCTACATGGTAAGTCAGGGTGTATCAATTTTGAGTAAATTAGCGTCCTTAAATTTCGAAATATTGACGTTTCAAGCATTTCTAAAATTTACCGTTATATGAAAGGCCGTAATTTTAGTCCGATTTCAATAATTTTCAACGCTTTGCTTTTATGTGGCAAGCACAATAACCATGGCAGAACGGTTACCGAGATACATATATGTGATCATAAGTGGGCGGTGCCTCGCCCATTTTCCAAAATAAATTTTATCATAAACGTATTTCCTGGTAAAGGATTGTTGCAAACATCAATTTTGAATAAATTAGCTTTAATATTTACTGATTTATCGAAGATTTCGTATTTCTCCAAATTACCGTTATATGGGATGTGGGCGTGGTTATTGTCCGATTTTAAAAAGTTTCAGCCATTTGGTAACCTGTACCAAGGCCAATAACTGTGCCAAGTTTGGAAGAAATCGGTGCAGCGGTTGCCACGATATACACATGTAACCATAAGTGGGCGTGGCTACGCCCATTTTTCAAAAATTTATAATATTCTTATTTTTTGTCTAAAAATTATTGTAAATATCAATTTTGAGTGAATAATCTTCAGTAGTTACTAAAATATCGCAGTTTCCGTATTTCTGAAAATTACCGTTATATGGGAGGTAGGCGTGGTTATTGTCCGATTTTTCCCATTTTCAATACGCCCGGAAGAAGTACACGTACCAAGTTTCGTTAAGATATATTAATTTTTACTCGAGTTATCGTGTGCACAGACGGACGGACAGACAGTCACCGCTTAATCGATTTCTCTT